TTGGAATTGAGCAACTGTGGGACTGTCGTGGGATCTACACGTGGACTAAGGGTTCCTATGGATGAAGCTCAGTGGTTTTCAGAGCCCTGAGGTGTGCTGACTCTGCAGTAAATACCTATGCTGCTTGAATACCACATTACTGTAGGATCTTTGGAAGCCTCTCAAATAAGCACAAGCCTGGGAACAGATGATTTAGGGCTGCAGCTGTGCTCTGTCAAATGTCATGCAGCACTCAGCTTAATTTAACTCCACCCTCATTCCTGCAAGCAAGGAATCAGTTCAGAGATTGCAAAGAAGAACCCTCTCTCCTCTAACCTGATGCTTGAAAGAGAGGGATTTTAAAAAAGGCCATCAAAGAGAGAACGAGCCAGAGATCATCCATCAACCACTTCAAAGCCAAACTTTGTAGAGACTCCTTTTGAAGGCAGTGTCTCGGCAATATATAGATTTTCAATGGGCTGTTTCAAAACTGCTCAAACAAGCAATTGCAGAATCATAATGAATTTAGTTGATGCATGTGACTCCAGTACAAACAGTACTGCAATACAAATAGCCCTGGCGCTCTTTGAATGTATGAAAACCAGAGTTTTATTCCCATGTACTCTCTCCCATTTGCAAGGAATGGGCGCATCAGCAAAGGTTTTCTTTCATTTAACAGAATCTTCCCACTCTTTTACATATTAGCTCCAAACCGAAGGTGAACTGTGAGCTCATGCTTTGAAAAGCTGTAACGTGGGAAGTTCTGTTAAGTGAGAAAGTGAGAGCAAAACCTGCATCTTTTTAAGCTCCTACTGATTGAACCCAGCAAAGATGCTAAGGTGGCATCATGTTGATTTTGAATCCATTTCTTTACCATTCTCTATGCAGCTTATGTCTAGATACTGGTTTATCCCATGAGGACTGCAGAAGCTCTTCTTCCATTCCATATAAAGCAATATGTAGATAAATGTCTCTATCATTACATAACACTCTTCCTGGTGTAATTGGCACTAGGGAGTAAAGGAGGTGTCATGGTATGTGGGAATGACCTTGGGAAACAGGAGGAAGAACCAGAGACTAGACAACCATGATGCAAAAGGTATCTCAGCCCACAGAAGCAGAGGAATACTTTCAGACTTGCAAAACTTCAAGGTAGCTCAGACAAGAAGCCTAACAATGAATACTAGTTCTATCTTTATTATAAGGTTACATTAACAGAATTTTGCAAGCCTGAAAGTATTCCTCCCCTCCTTTCCTTTTACTCTTTGGAAAACTAGGGAAGATCCCTTCTGGAATGCTTCACACACACCCCTCTGCTTCTGTGGACCAAGATACCTTTTGCATGATGGTTGTCTAGTCTACGGCTCTTCCTCCTGTCTCCCAAGGTCATTCCCACATACCATGCCAGGAGACCACCAGTTTAGGCTTATATGGGTTATCTGACTTCATATCTTGAATTGCAATCCAAAGCAATCAGTTGATATATCAGCATTAGAAGGTTATCTGCTGTTATTTGTGTAAATCAGACCAAAGATTCTTGGCCTAAGAGTAATCTATAAGTGGAAATGGAAAGTCTTGTGAGGGCAGAAGATTTGATGTTGCTCATTCACATTTTGTCTTCAATCCAATGATATCTGAATACTGACTTTTCTGCAGTTTTAAGAAGAGAAAACCCCTAAAGATACCACTACTGAAATTCAGCAGCTCAACCATGATACAGAAACAACTCCTATACTGCTCTCCTTAATGAATCTGATGAAGAATATTTACCCCTCGGAAACAAATTTAACCAAAAAAAAAAAAAAATTGACAAGGAAGATTCAATTGTTGGAAGCAGTGTCAGTTTTGGCTACTGATTCTTATATTGTGAACAGTCCATTAACAAATAGGTATATAGTTATAGAACTTCGTCTTTGAGCAAATATTGTTTAAAAATTACAATAAAAATACATTGGAACAATAAAGTTTAATAACTTAAATGGGTCAGTTTTGCTGTCCAACATAAAATGCACATTTTCATGAGACGTGGGTTTCATTTTACTTAAACCAAATGAATTTACAGTACCCAAATATGAAAACTATTCAGGGCTAGTCATACAGGGTTGTGTTACAGCCTTTTAGACACTGAATGGATTTATGCACTGTATTACACCATAATTTTTAATCATGTTTTGTTGAATGGTAAGTCAAAATCAATGCTAAGTCAATAGTAAGTCAAAATCAATGGTAAGTTAAAATCAGACACCAGTGTAATTTAACACAGTGCATAAAACAAGTTATTATGGCTTGAACAAACCAGGGATGAGCATGTAATCTGAACTGTGTTCAAAATTAGCACTTAAGGTAATATTTTGATAAATAGTTGAAGGGCCTGCAACATCCGTTTTAAAAAGATGGCCACAACAGAGGAAGACATGCCAACAATGTCCTGCACGTTTAAGTTTCTACAATGTGATTCGCATAAGATTTGTTGAAAAATGGTTTAGAAACTTCATTTGAGGTGGCCAAGAATAGAACATGTACAAAAACATGTACAGCCAATTTTACACCAACTGTATTGGTCACCAGTATACAGTATTCCCAGACCTCATTCAGAACTTTGTCATAAATTCATACTAGCTCGCATTTGACCCAAGGGGCATCTTTACCCTTCTCATTCTTTCTGTAATTTGCTTATCTTGAGGTATCCTATCTGTATGTCCTCCTCTAAGATTATTTTGACAAGGTACAAAACTAAGCTTTATACAACTGTTAGTAATTTTGAAGCATCCGGCAGCTGTATGGGATATTGCTTATTATGAACTTTATGACATGATTACAGAATATATTAGGGTCTGGATTGAGCAAGAACATTTCTTAAAATTGATTCCAGCCCAAATAGGCTGGGATGTAAAATTCAATGAAGGTAGAACAGGGCATATGCCTTTAGAATTAACAAATACTTGTGAGTAGCCTCAATGTACATGGTAGCTCTGCTGTGGCTTATTACCTCTATCTAAGGGGAAAAAAGAAACCTCTAAAACATCACAAAAAACCACTCCCGTGCATCTGTACTAATAGAGAATCTTCACAGTATCTTCATACAGGGGTTCTTCCCTTTGAGCACCTAATGAAGGATAAGGTGGTTTTCCTCATGTTAGGGTGAAGGACAACCCTATTGGCTTCCTGTTTGCCTTCAGGGCCACTTTAACCTATCCGAAAACCCTCTGAATACAATCTAGTCTTCTAAGCAACTTTGGCATCCAAGATCAATCTTGCTTGCAGAAGATTATCCATATCATTGAGGGGAAGTCTGAGTAAAGATGGTTATCTACCTGACTATAACAGCTGTTCATCATTCTACTACTAATGGGATTGCTAGTAACTGTCGGAATAAAGTCCATGCAGTTTTCTTGGCAACATTTTTGGAAGTGGTTTACCACTGCCTCCTTCCTAGAGCTGTGAATGACTGGCCCAAGATCACCCAGCTAAGGCAGAACAAGCATTCATGGTTCTCCTTAATTCTAATCCAGTGCCTTTGATTGCTATACCAAATCTGCTCTCCAACTGACCTACTCAAGCGCAATGTGATTCTAGAAACAAATTCACACACAGCAGAGCTAGCGTAGGTAGACAAGGTGGATATACAATCATACCAAGTATCTGTTTTCCTATTGCCTAGGCAGAAGAGATTAACAAAAGGGTCAAAGCAGACCCCTCAAAGGAAAGAGACTCACCCAAAAAAACTCCCCATCGCCCTTGAGTTTTAGGGGAAAAGTGAATTAAAGGGTTTCCCAGAGCTCCAGTTTGTACATGAGTGACCATTAGGCACACAGGGATAGATACTGGAATCAGTCTGGAAGTTAAAGAGTTTATTGATGAGTTTCCAACTTTTCTACATTCCCCACAGACCACACTAGGGAGTTTGCAGGTTAGGTAAATCTGTGCATAGTGGGAAGAGAAATTATATGGGGTGGAAGTTAAAAGAAAATTCACAGAAAATAGAAAAAAATACAACACAGGTTATCAGAAGTTCAAGAATTTAAAAAAAAATGCTGTGAGGATTAACACCAACTATACAGGCATTACAAAGACATGATGGTTAATGGAGCAATTCTTTTGACACTTCAGTGCCCAGTGATTCTCTCCTCTTAGCTGTATCTCAAACATAATTCCTCTCTGTGGCGCATAACCCTGTACACAAGAGTGAGCAAAGTTGCAGTGTTTCTTTCATTCTTTCTTCTTTTGCTTCTTCAAATGCCTGGCTTTTTCCAGGCAGGTAATGGCGCTGTTGAAGCACATGTGCCTCAAGTCTCACCCAACGTTCTTAGGAAGACCCATCAGCCTTCCAAACCTGTAATGTTCATGAGTTATCCTGAATGGAGGGGGGAACACATTAACAAGAGGGATTTGCTTACATTAGGCAAAGGCTAAAAGGGGAGGTTGTGCTGGAAGGACTGAATTCTAATTTAAAAGCTTCCAACTCTATAGCAGGACTGGGTCCCAAAAGCAAGGCAGGTGTGCAACCTGAGCCTGCTCAAATCTTGACCAAATAATTCCACTAAAAAGATTCTAAAATGAGAGAAGCAATTTCCCTCCTTGCCTTTGGAGGGTCTAGAATTTTGAAAACCAAGCCACACAGCAGCAGAATTGTACAGGTCACTGGCACTGAAGAATGTATTTCAGTTTTCCATAGTTTTCATGAAGTTTGCTTTCTCAAAAATCCTAATTTGTATTTTTTGTGACTTCTGGGGAACAAACACGCCTAGAAAGGAATGAAATATATATATTTCCTCCCTAAGGAAATTCTTTTCTAAGGATTCTTCCTTTCATTCATTATTTTCCTTCCTTCCTTCCTTCTATTTATTTTATATATATATATATAAATTT